GTTCCATATTGGCTTGATTTATAATTTTACCATGTTTCTGTCCTTGGATAAGACCAAACAGCTTACCTAATTAAAAGTAATAAGACATTGAAGCATAAACAAATGGGTCTGCAACATGAAATTTGTTTAATAGGACTTCTGTTTTCTACTTCCCATCCTTTTATTACTTTTGAAAATCAAAATAGACAAGATAGGTAGCTGACTCCTCTTCACATTTATTGAATTATGGACAAATAGTATTGCCCACGTGCTTTCTTAATTGCCCACAGTGGACCTTGTTTATGGATCCGTTTTTGAGATTGCACTGATTGGTTTGTTAAAAATGTGTGTGTATATTGTCTTTTCTCAAGCTTTATTTCTACAATAAGTCAAAACGTGTAAACTTAGCAAGATTTTTTTTTAAGTTACTGCTTGGGGGTGGACTTGAACCCAGGCCTCTCCCCTGCTAGTCTCCTTTACATGAAACTGCACTGTCTGTCTTCCAAAATACAAACCTGCCTCACAAGGGGATGTGGGTAACCTCACCGAAAATAGATTGACTGGTACAGTGTTTCCAGTTTTATTTTCCCCCCTCACTTTGAATCTATCTGGGCAAACAGAGTTTCCACAGTCTCCCTTGGTTCAGATAAAAACAAATTAGAATTGAGTACCATTAGCACAGCAGTCATAATACTTTAGCTCCTATCTATGATGTTCCCCGGCGGCTTCATGGCGGGCTGAAAAGAATACATAAGTCCACCTTCTTCCACCTGCAGTAATGAACAGTCCAACGTGAAGTCTGAGGGCTCACAGGCTGCAATTTCTGCTATTTCAAACTTCTCTTTTTCAGACTTGTGAATTAGCCTTTTTTGAAAAAAAGTCTTCCGCAAATCACCAAACAATGTCAAAACTCCCTTTTATCAGGGCCCCAGTGAGCCTTGTGGCTTTTTGGAAGGGAGAAATTCGTCACCTATTCCTGCTTGCTTTCTGGATTCTAGGGACAACAGGCTTAGCAGTCTTCCAGTTTTCTGTCCTTAAACCAGAGTGTTGCATTTAAGAAAGAGAAAAGCTTCTTTGCGGTATACTTATGACGATGGGCTATAACTATTTCCAGAGGTAGTCTCTCATTCTCTAGTGTCGTCTAACACTCTCTATAAGAGCAAAGGGTTCTTCATCCCGAAGCAGATCAACGGTTTCAAAAGGAAGGGTTCTCCACTTTCCACATCTTTATATGAGAAAAATACCAGTTCTTCATTCCAGGCCGATCTGGGTGTTCCATGGCTGCAGGTGCTTCTCTGGAGCAGGGTGAACCCTCTCTGTGACCCTGAAAACACGGCCACATGTCTTTTCTCCAAAATTCTCTGTCCCCAGAGAAGGTTCTATGCAGGTGCAGAACCCATATGTGAAGTTGAGCAGACCACACAAAGAACATTCCCCCCCCCCCGAAAGCAGTTGTTTTGCTCTTGGGTTGTTTCCTCTGGGCAATATTAACATGTAGCAAAGCCAGGGGATCCGTCAAACTCAAATATGGAGTCTTGCATTTACTTATTGGCAACATTCAGAGCAATGGGTCAGACATTCTGGAAGCCTCCCACCCTTTAATCACAAAGGACAAGCGTGCAACTTCATTCTTAGATGTTCTCTCGGAAACTGCTTTGTTATCCTGCAATAGTCAGGTTTGCATTTCTGCCATAAAATCTTGTCTGTTTCATAAAATTTTAATAATCCATGGCTACTCCATTTGATAAATCATTTCCAGGTGCACACGGCTTGCAGAGACTCGTATCCTCACAAGTGTCCGCTCGGCCAGTGTAAAGTATCAATTATTCCTCCCACAGCACTGAACAGCATAGATTCTGATGGTATGTATGCTGGTATGACATACGTATGACATATATAACATGTATGATGGATGCACACAGCATGTAACATGACATGTTTGTAGTGTTGAGTGCTCTGCTGAAAATATATAGGCAGAATATATACAGGTTGTAGCAGGGTTGTCACACAGTGTTGTGAAATGACATCATAATGTAGTCAGTGAGGTGCTATGAATGATGGGGGAAAACTAGGGAGGGTCCCTTCTTAAACGTTTCCCACACCCTCCCCCCTTCTGTGGGCTGAGACATCTTTTACTTGCTGGTTGTCCCATCTGCAACTCTCACTTCTGTCTTCCAAGGTCATTCCCACAGACCCTTACGGTTAACCTGTGGAGGCAAAAATCAAAGAGGAATCTGGTAGCACCATTTCCAACTAATACATTTTATTAGAAAGCATAAGGGTTTGTGAAGCTTTCACTTATGAAGTGACCTGCAGCTCAGAAAAGCTGGTGCCTTTTAATAAAATGTGTTAGTTGGAAAGGGTGTGACCAGATTCCTCCTGACTTCTCATTATAGTGCAGGATCGGCTAGAGCAGTTTTTTTTCCCTAACTTGGCAACTTTAAGACGTATAGACTTCAACTCCCTGAATGCCGCAGCCAGCATGAGAGGAAAACTATTTGTTTATCAAGTGTTTATCAAGTGCAAGGAATGGGATAATTCAGAACAAGAATGAATACAGACCATGAAAGACAAGATGTTCAGACTAGAAATAGAGTGCTGCTTCTCTTGAGAAGTTCAGGGTGGCTACCTTGTCAGATACTTCCACATACCAAGAGTTTAAGACTTTTGTTTTCTTATCAAATCATGTTCTGACTTGTGATCGTCTTAAATCCTTTGAGAGAATTTGAGAACAGAGAATAATTAGAGATGGCAGTCAACAGTCAACAGCAGGGCATCCACAGGCAGGTCAAAAAAGTCAAGGTGGTGGCCAACATCCCATGATCAAAGCCATGATTCTTGTCTTGAAGTGTGCAAGGAGATGCATGTTAAAATGGGGCGGAGCTACAATTGTACAGAGTTGGCTATCTTGTCTTGTTTTTGACGCCCCTATATATAAATAACAGTAATAAGGCAATAAATAATGTTGGTTAGCTATCTTTGTAATCCCCCAAATAATCAGGCACTCCAGCTTTAAAGAATGATAAACCCATTGACTTTTAAAGCAATCAAGTGCAATTTCATACCTTTCATAAATATTTCACTGGAAATGTCTGCGGATATAGGCCTGACAAAGTAGCTAGTTGAGTTTCATTTGCCGTGAAATGAATTGGCATGGGGGAGGAATTAACCAGTTTGCAAAACACCAGAAAACCTTTGACGGGAGATGGAGACTGCTCAAGCAGAATGTGAATGTCATAGTAGTTTATGGAAGAGAATTTCTTGCCCATTTCCGTGTATGTTAATGTAGAGAATTAATGACACTTAAGATATGAACACTCAGATTCATGCTTCTAATTAGGTCTCAATTTGTAGAAACCTGGCAGATCTCCATAAATTCAAACAAAGAAATGAATGTTTTACGTTCTAAAACATATTGGCCTTCGCTGAGTGAAAAAAGAGTCGATTTGCTGTAGTCCTCTGTTCAAAATGGATTCCAAAGGGTTAGAAGACTTTTGCTAAGCAGAAAAGGAATGTATAGGACAGTGTTGTCCAAACTTGGCCACTTTAAGATGAGTGGACTTCAACTCCCAGA